TGGATATATGATGTGCTGTGAGAGTGTGAGGCTATGCTGAGAGTGGGGGGGGCAGAACAGTTGGAACGAGCTCCATCAGTCCTGACATTTCTGATAAAACTGTGTACACTGAACACTTCATGGTAAAGAGCGGCTCAGTGAGTACTAAGTACACACAGAGTACTACAGAATACACACTGTTACAGTAACAGTTGTACTGTTACTGTAACAGTACACACTGTTACAGTAACAGTACACACTGTTACAGTAACAGTACACACTGTTACAGTAACAGTACACACTGTTACAGTAACAGTTGTACTGTTACAGTAACAGTACAACTGTTACTGTTACTGTAACAGTACACACTGTTACTGTAACAGTACACACTGTTACTGTAACAGTACAACTGTTACAGTAACAGTGTGTACTCTGAGATGACGTCAGAGGAACGTCTGAGGTTTGATATCCAGGATCATGAACCAAAGAATTGTTTATCACACACAACAACTTTCATTCTCAGTGATGAACACACACACACGTGTGTGTGTGTGTGTGTGTTGATGTTTATCAGCGAAGCCTAACTGCGCCCTCAACGTTTCTTAAAACATACCCCGGGGAGTACTCCACACTGACAGTACTAACAAGGTACTGTGGGTGTATTTATGTGAGTGTGTGTGTGTGTGTGTGTGTGTGTGTGTGTGACACACACGATACTGAAGCCCTGTAAAAAGAATCTAATTAAAAGCCTCTGTATCCACCAGAGATGGCGCTCATCCACAGTTTCTCACTGAACTCCAGTGAAGGACGTGAGACTGTGGAGAAATGAACCACAGACCGACCACAGACCGACCACAGACAGACAGACAGACAGACAGACCGACCGACCGACCACAGACAGACAGACAGACAGACAGGAGCTGACGATACTGACACCTGGGGGTCGAGGGGTGTGTGTGTGTGTGTGTGTGTTGATGTTCACTCCAGGTTTTCACCTCCTCTAACGACAGGTTTCACTTCAGTTTGGTCAAATATCACAGTCGTCTGAAACACTTTCAAAATTGTTCATTGTTTGAGTTTGTGAATTTCCACCCAGAAACTTTCAGACCTTCCTGACGATCAGAGACAAACTTCAGACCAAAACGATTGTTTAAAGTAAAAGACTGAAGGTTGAAAATCCCTGATAAAAAAATCAGACGTTTGTTCTGAGTTTGTGTCTGTGTGAGTCTGAACAAACAAACGATTTCAAACTGGTAAATACTTTGATTCTTTTGACTCCAAACTGTGAGTCACAGCAACAACAACAACAGACTTTTGTTGAATCAAAAACCACGACAATGAAAATCTCCATCATCAAACACAGAGAGCACCACCAGCAGAACTGTGGCTGCTGATTGGTTAGTTAGTTGGTTAGTTTTCCAACCAGGTTGTGACTGGTTGTGACTGCAGGAGGGAAAATTGAAAAAACGGTGGTTTTTCTTCTTATAACATGGTAAAAAAAAAAAGAAAAGGTGTTTTTACCTGCGACGCTCAGGTGAACCGCAGGACTGGTCACATTCTCTCCAGTCACCTCGTTCACAGCCTCTAAATAGAAGCGTCCTGCGTCGGCTGTGGTCGTTGCCAGGACGACCAGCTGATTGTCCAAAGTGATTGCTCTGTGGGAAAGAAAACAGAAAAATCCACAGGAGAACAAGGGATCAGGCAACAATAACTGAGAGAAGAAGAAGAAGAAGAAGAAGAAGAAGAAGAAAGAGAGCTCGCGCTAAGACTCTGACAAGAGGCGTGTGTACGGAACACGGATCGTTTAGAATTCATAAGAGGAAGGAAACACCGAACACAAGCGTCAGGAGCAGAAAAGCGGATTCACGGAGCTTAAATAAATCTCTCCTCCTGTCTCAGATTGATATGTGGCTCAGTTTGCCTCTTTTTCTTTTCTTTTCCCCGTTCCTGCGGCCGTCCTCTGCTCGATTATCCTCTGGTTCTCCATCTTTTCACTGATCCTCCCCCATTTCCCTCCACAGCTGCAACAATCGCCACGGCGCCCCCACCAGAGCGCAGAAATAAAATAGAAAAAGAAACACTTCCTGTTGCTTTTCAGAGACTTTATAATAGCTGGAGCTGTTC